CCTCTCACTTGTTATTTATGTCCCAGCAACTTGTGACTTTTTTATTGTCTCCAAGGACAATGTATCTTAAATCAACCATCTTTTATTATCCTTACTCTCTACCCTTTCTTATAATGTGTTTTCCATATACCCTCACATATATTCTCCCTGTGTGTAACCTTGAACTTCAGTTTCCATTGCTAAGCAAAGGGACATGCATTATTTAGTTTTTTCATTTTTGCACAGTGAGGTGCCACAGCTTAGCAGAGTGTGAGAAACTGATTTTGGGAGCATCATAGCAGAGTCTTGCACACTGATAATCCTCTTACGCTCAATGCTCATCCACACACAAACTCAATCGCACAAAAACGCCCGAATGTGAGCACACAAAACCACATATTGACAAAAAAATTGTATTGTGGCATTCCTTCATTTACGGGTTAAAACTGAGTGTTTCTGTCTGTTTTCTTTACTTCTGAGACAAAACTATTGTCCTGAAGGCAGAGATTTTTGCATTTCCATCTGGGAGTCACTAATTTATTCACCCATATCTTTAATCCTCTGCTGCCACTCCCAGCTCCAAGAGACGCTTCCATGAAGGAGCTGAACCTTAGTGTGCATTAAACTCCCTCTTAGTGTGTGTGTGTGTGTGTGTGTGCGTGCGTGCGTGTGTGTGTGCGTGCAGAGAGTGCATGCACATTTAACTGCACTAACCCTCCCCAGGTAAGATTTTGCCCCTGCAGGGTTATGTGCGTGTGTGCGTGTGTGTGTGTGTGTGTGTGTGCAGTTATTGAGTGGCATAAAGAGTGAAGTGAGTAGTAGATGTCTTCTGAAAGCCTTGACCCACTTCCAAGTGTCCTCCTCCCCCCGCTCACCCAAACACACTGCATAGCGAAGCAGCTCTGCTACAATCTGCTGAGCTGTGGTGAAGCTCTGCACCCAGACACTGGAGGGAGAGGGTGTGTCTGTGTGTCTAATAAATAAATTGTGTCTGTATGTACTGCAAGGTCATGTGTATATTTGTATGTGTGTGCAAGACTATATTAGAGTCATATTGAGTTACGAACAAGACACAAACATGTTTTACTGCAGAGTGGATGTAACTCTCTAGATTTTGTTCAAATGTAAGCCCCTGCAGAACAGAGTGAGTGAGAGCTGCAGCTAATGATTATTTTAGAATGGATGAATCCATTGATTATTTTTCCACTAACTGACCAATCAATATGTCAATAGAATATTTAAAAAGGGAAATTGTGCTTTGCAGTTTCTTTTTTTGTCAGCTAACCTAAAATTAAATGTTTCAAAGAAAACAAAGAAAAGTAGCACAACTCAGTCAATTAGATAAATTCTGGCACTGTGTATAAAACGAAGTGATACACAGTATATGAACTATAGTCAATATATCCATGATGCATTTCATGATGACATTTGTATTTTAGGCTCAGATCTGACCTGGATTTACTTCATCCACTGAGCACAAACAAGTGTTTCCACAGCAACCTGTGATGTGTCACAGCTAGAATGAGTCATGTTCGATACACTTTATGTGGACACTCACTGTTAGAGGTTCACTGTGTTCAATTGTTGTCCATGTGAAAGGCCAGGTTTAAACTCAGTCTGTCAGAAAATATGCAGACCCACTTATATCTGATGGCATAACATGACATTGCAAAAATAATGTTCAAATAAAAAATGCCACATATCTTCAGTAAGTCAGAGCCACAAGACATAGTAGATTTTTTTAGATAGATAGATAGATAGACATACTTTATTCATCCCAGAGGGGAAATTCTTGTTTTGGTTATTTTTTTGTTTTTTTTTAGATAGATGGACATAAATGACATCTAGACACCAGGAACCACAAAATGTTACTAAAATGAGTTAATTAAAATGATTGGACAGTGGGCATGAGAGAAAACTATGGTGATATGTGGGATGAAATGAAATATTCAGCTCCATGCCCTCTTGATATGTTAGAGCAGAAAGGGCTGGTTTTAAGATGATGTGAGGGAAGCTCTGCAGACACTCACTTAGTTGTGACAGAGATTTAGACAGATTACAAACATGCACACAGGCCTGCAAGCACGTAAACAGGGCACTGACTGATGTGTACATTATAAATCAGGGGATTAGCAGCCAGTTTGATTTATGGACTGATGCAGAGTAAAAGTGTTTGCAGACATGATAGAGACACGATGTCTGGTCGACAGGATCAGTGAGGTTCTACCTGCTGGTTCCGTTTTAAACCTGCTGAGTCCAACAAGAGCTCCTGAGTCACATGACATCATCAGCATCCTCTTTCCCTCTAATCTAGATCAGATCCAGATCTGATCATCAGTGACCCCTTTACTCAATATACTCCCACAGTTCACTGCAGTGTGTGTTAAGTTGTTTGCATTATAAGGGTGTGTGTGTCTGTGGCACCTATCTGTCTCTTAATCATCCTCCCTTCACTCTGTCGGTATGTGGTGTCTGATCAGTCGGTCAGTCTGATCTGACGTCAGTCGGGACAGTTTTCTAATGAACTCTGGTGAAAGACAGACAGTCACACACACAGACACTTGCAGGCAGACAGACACAGAAAGACAGACACACAGAGACAGAGAGACAGACAGACTGAGTCATAACTGTATTTATTATGGTTCCCATTCTCCTCCACAACGTGTTCTTTCTTCCTGTGCTCTACATATTGATGTCATCACTAAATATGACAGCCCATGTGGTCGTCAGAGTAAACACACACTCTGCCCTGAAGAGCATGTTGTTGTAGTCGTGCACCACAATGATATTGTTGTGTTGTGTGTTTTGGTGTGATGTCATACGTTCCACCTCAGCTGGGGTGGTGAGTGACAGACACTAAGTCCAGAGTTTGTTGGTTCAATTCCCACAAATGAAAGTTCTGTATATCACTTTAAAGAATGACCTGATCCTCTGCTGGGTACGACTTCACACAGTTTGAGTTTCTTCCTCCGTTATGTATCTCTACATGTGTTAGGAGACAGTGTCTCTGTGTGGCTCTGTGGCGCAATGGATAGCGCATTGGACTTCTAGATGAGTTAGGTGCAAGTCATTCAAAGGCTGTGGGTTCGAGTCCCACCAGAGTCGTGTTTTATCCATTAAAGGTACAGTGTGTGGAGTTTTGTGATATCCAGGGTTGAAGTTGCATGTTGCAGCTGAATGCCCCTCACCTAAACAAACATGAAATCACATGACAGAGAACATGTGGTAGCCTTCAATTCTCATTAAAAGTGTTTAGTTTGTCCAGTCTGGACTAATGTAAAAAACATGGCGGCCTCCGTAGAGAGGACCCCCTTCATGTTAATATAAAGTACTTAATTATAAAGGGCCTGTTCTGGGGTAACAATTCATACAATTTAGATGAAACAAACTAGTGAAAACATCATGAGGATTATTCTACGTAATATTTCTGCCAATCGATCACTTACACCTAAGTCTTACACACTGAACCTTTAAATGAAAACTGACCAGATCGAGTGTAACTGACAACATTCAGTCTGTACATGTTCTGTACTCACTGGTGTGGTCTGTGAATTTCTCCACGATAGCCTTCTCCTCATTATTCAGAGTTTGTTGGATTGATTCCCACCAGTGTCTATATTTATACATCAGTTTGAGTGAAAATGAAAGTTCGGTAAAACTTTGTAAGAATGACCTGATCCTCTTCTGAGTACGACAGTTTCTCTGAGTTTCTTCCTCCTCTCTGGGTCTGTACCTGTGTTGAGAGTCGTTATGTTAAACAGGTAAGCTCTAGACAATCCCCCAGTTAGTGGGTCGTTTGGGTCCTCCGAGTCAAGGTGTGAATAGCTGTTGATACCTGCCAGTCATTGACCCACCCTGCTATTGTCTGATGTGTTAAAAGCCTTTAGTCAGTAAGAACTGAAGACGATTGGATGAGAGGGGAAACATCTTCCAGAAACACAAGCAAGTCCAATTGCCTACGTGCACTTGTACAACCTCTAAAGATACCATGACCTGGATGACTGAGAATCTTCACAAATATTTCAGAGTTAAACACAAATTTCAAATGAAATTCATACATTACTTCACTCTCAGCTCAACTGTCCAACATTTACAGTTTCTTTGATTTCAGTCACACTGAAAAATAAATAAAAGTAACACTAATCAAGTTTTTCCCACATTCAGCTTAAACATTAGAAACCATGAAACCTACCGGAATGCAATTGTCAGTCATCAGTACACAGACATCGTTGTACACTGTGTTCAATCTATACCAAGAGACACACAGAGACAGACAGACTGACTGAGTCTGCTTGGTCTAGCTTGTGTCACTACAGAGTCAATATAAGACTAATAAGTCTCCTCCCTGATGATCATGTTTGTGCACAAATACACTTTATATAACTGTATTTATTATGGTTCCCATTCTCCTCCACAATGTGTTCTTTCTTCCTGTGCTCTACATATTGATGTCATCACTAAATATGACAGCCCTTGTGGTCGTCAGAGTAAACACACACTCTGCCCTGAAGAGCATGTTGTTGTAGTAGTGCACCACAATGATATTGTTGTGTTGCGTGTTTTGGTGTGATGTCATACGTTCCACCTCAGCTGGGGTGGTGAGTGACAGACACTAAGGGATGTATTATTCCCATGAAAACTATAATTTGTGGCCCTGCAGGGAGTCATTAGGAGGGTTAGAGCCGGGTTTGCAGAGTCCTGTACAACGTAATATAGTGTTGACACAAAAACAACTGGTTAAAGGTCCAAACCGATAATTAGTGATAGAGTGATGATGCTGACCACCTTGTTTCTGCTGTTTCTGCTCAAAAAATGTTACAAAGCAGCTTAATAACATATGAGATTATGTCTTGATTTGACAGTTGCTTGATTATTGAAAAATTGACTTACTCTCCTGATCAGTAAATTTAATTTGAAATATTATTGTTGTGGTTGACCTGAACCTTAATAATTCTGCTGGCATGTCATGATGGTTTCATCTTCAAATACCTAAGTGCTCTCTGTGTCTTCTCTCCTGTCAGATGTTGTGAGTGCAGAGCCTCGCTGTCCCACTGGTATTATGAGAAAGATGGACGGCTTTTCTGCAAGAAGGACTACTGGGCCAAGTTTGGGGAGCTGTGCCACGGCTGCAATGATCCCATCACCACCGGCCTCATCATGGTAAGAGGTTCTGTCCGCTGACTCTCCTATCTCATCACATCCCTGCTTCTTTGTCTGCTGATGAACCTCAAGTTACAGCTCGGAGCTGCGACACACAGACATCCCAACATTTACAGCCTCTTTTACATACATGCATGTCGGATCGGCGCCAGACCTGTAACTGACCCTGATTCCTTTGACTGCTTTGTCAGCTTGTCTTACAGACCACCGGTGAACGTCAGAGCTGTTGTTGTGTGTAGTTGTTGTGACACAGGAGAACACAGAGCTTCTGAATAGATGTGGCTGCAGCAGCGGAAAAACAGATAAACAATAGAGTCAACCTCTGTTGATAAGTGCTGCTGCATTATAGACAAGACGAGATACCGGCTCCACAGGAGAGTTGTGTCTTTTGGTTGATTAGTTGTTGAATCACACTCATTCAAAGCTTGTAGAAACAGAATAATACTGAATGTCAGTGTACTAGAATATTTATTCAAGGCCACTCAAGGCCACTGGCAGCACAAGCGAAGGTGCAATGTGGTGTCTGTCGTGCAGATGTTTATATTTTTGTGTTTGTCTCCTGGCTCTAGATGAACTCAACCTTACTGAGGTGGTTGAAGAGGTGCAGGACTGTGTCCATGCTGATTGTTCAGAGCTTTGTATCTTGATGCTCTTTTCAGCACAGAAACAGGCCTGAGCTCGTGACAGCTCAGACCATTTAGTAAAAATGCATGGTCATTGTTACCGGTTTAGTTTGCACAGACTCTCCACAAACAAAACAACTGTAATGTTGCTTTCAACATGAATTAAAATGTTCATTTAAATAAAAATGTAGATATAGGCAACCCATTTATTATTAATTCAGCTGAAAAGGTTAGTTGCTTAATCAATTAGTTATTTTAATGATGAGTTGATTGTTTAATTCTTTTTAAGTCTCCACTTCCTTCCAATATCCACAAATGAAATCAAAATATCCCAGATACAAACACTGACACGTCTGCGCAGTAGTGAGGTCCTATCAATATACAAGCTTGGCCAATCAATGTCTCAGCTGTCAATCACGATGATTCACTCCATTTTCATAGCATCAAATAACTAAAGAAAAAAAATGCATTTTACGTGTGAGTTGACTTTTTAGTTTGCTCCATGTCACATCCATGAACCTGGAGGAGGTTGGGTAAATGACCTATACTGTAGCCAGCCACCAGGGGGTGATCAAGACATTTTGGCTTGCATTTTGGGCCATAGTCATAGTCTATGATTCCAGGTTTTCACTTGTAAGCATTAGTGTCTTTTCTTTGTCTTGCCTGATGATAAACAGGACATCTGTGTGTTCTGGAATATATAATCAGAAAGAATCATGTGAAGCTCTTATAATTAATTTATAAATGAATCCATTAATTTGGGAAATGATCAGCAGATTTAATGACCTGGAAAATACAAAATAACAATTTTACTAATAATGTCATGTACATGCTACTAATCCTGGTATTCACAACCCTTTATGTATTTCATCTTCAGCAACACTTTCACGGTGAAAAGTGGCAGAACACCAGGATCCTGCTGCTCAACACATTTCACTACCTGACAGAGCAGATTTTATTATTATCTCAGCCAAAAAACCCTACAAGATTGAAAACATGTGTATGTCCCTGTATGTATGTATGTCCCTTGGAATAAGTTTTATTAATTATTAAAGCCTATTTATTTAACACATCTACTTTGTTGTATTAAAACACATTCACCATGTCAACACAGGATACCCAAACATTATAATATTTAAGGAGAAAGCTGGACACTTTTCACAGAAACTAGTTTGGTGTATTTAGGAATGTGGTCAGTGTGTAGAGTTGAACAGCAGCAGGATTCAACAGCAGCAGGATTTATGGCATACATCTTCCTCCCTGCTCATTCATCACTGTGAAAGCTTACAGAGCTGCCTGTGGTATTCGTCGTGGCATCCACCCATGAGGTAAAATTAGAATTATCAGCCGTGGCAGCAGACGATATGAAAACTATGTCAGCTGCATGTGGAAATATGTGAAGCTCATATTCTGGAAAACTCCCGCCTGTCTACTTTGCATGAAGCGCATATGACAGGGAAATTATTCAAAGTGCTGGTGGAAGTGGGATTTAACTTGAGAATTATATAAATTTGAATTTCAATTATATGCAGGTAGCATTTTGTATTTAACTTACATTTTTAGATTTTATTTCAAACAAAATATATCAGAGCGGTGGTTGAAATTGAATTTTAGTTTTGTCTTTATTTCTTTAGTTCTGTCCAGCTGAGGTTATAAACTGTTTTCCTCCAAAACCCAGATTATTGATTAAAAGAACAAATGCCTTGACTGTTTGTGCTGCTCTGATAGAAGAAACTGGTTTAAAATAAAAAGCTGAGTCTATCTTTTGAACATAAAACTGCACTTTGCTTCCAGGCCAGATTCTGCAGGCTTCATGTGTCATGGTCACAATGAACAAAACATATTCATGGCTCTGTACGTGTGTGTGTGTGTGTGTGTGTGTGTGTGCGCGCGTGTGTGTGCTTTATCATACTGCCTCCAGACAGCTTGCTCTTTGCAGTGCAATCTGAGTAATGAAACATGTAGGAGACTCCAAAGTGAATTGGGTGGAGCGAGGACTGCTGCACCACCCTTCTGCTTTAATGCTCCTTTTACAGAACTGCAGTGATTGACTATCTCTGCAGTTACACTTAAGTAAATCTGAGATCTGTCAGCCAATCAGGTCTTATTGCCAACATGGCTGCAGCAGGACAAGGTCAGCGCCCTGCGTCTGTGCCACACCCAGCAGCAGGAGAAGCAGCACACTGAAGTCCTGCACACTGATGCCTGAGCAGAGCAGCAGGGAAACACAATCCTATTTTTGAAATACTCTGATGCGACTGCACCTGAAGAACTCTGTTGTCACAGTCAAAGACTTCATGCAGTGATGAGTCAGAGTCTGCAGACACACAACTGATGGTCAGCCACAGAAACATTAATGTGAGACGAGGAGAGTAACGAGCGAGCTGTGTTTGCATTTCATGGGATTTCATTTCAAGCTTAGCCTTTAAAATGTTTTATAAACTCTAATCGCATTCTCTGCACTTTTGTGAAAGTATTTTTTACTTAAAACCACCAAGATTATTATTTTGCTTCCATTTAACTTCTTGTTTGAGCTCTTTTCTTGGCTCAGGCAGCTGTGGCCCAGGAGGTAGAGTTGGTCATCCACAAACCAGAAAGTTGGTGGATTGATGCCGGGCTGCTCCAGTCTGCATGGGGACATGTCCTTGGGCAAAACGCTGAACCCTCAAACTGCGTGACTGTTTTTGTTGGATTGTTCTCTTATTGAAGGTGTTGGTGTATTCTGTACGTTTTCTCAGTAACTGCAGCTGCTCTGTGGAGGGAGTCATTGTTGTGTGTGTGTGTGTCAGCAGCTTCAGCCTCCAGTAAACAGGTTGTAATTCAGTCAGTGGATATTACTCAGTCATTTACAACCTTTACTGTGACCGATTTACATACTGAACACAGCTTTACCTTCTGTAATTGAATTTTCACTTCTCCAGTCCCTCCGTCATTCTGTCCATCCATCACTCCTGCTGCAGACCGATGAATGTGCAGTGTCACCTTCATCTCCACTCTCAGTTTTTCTGTGATCAACTCACGGCTGAGAGTCAGCTGATGGAACGTAGCACGTGGAACCTGTTTCTAAAAGATTAGACAAAGTTCTGCAGCCGCTGTGTGAACATGATTGACACAACATGAGTTTGTATTTAATTTTTAACGTGCAAAGACCTTAAGGATTAATTAGCATGGGTTTCATTTGATTGTGAACTTTAAGATGGAGTTTGATCCCCGAGGAGACCCAGTCAAGGGCTCATTGTTTGGAGTTAGATGAGCGGAAAGCAGCTTAGTTAGTAAGTTGCCAACTCATTGAGAAAGAAAATAATTGAAAAGTGTAGGATTAACTTCTGGAATCCCAAGAAACAAAGTGGATCAAAGTGTAGATATTTGACATGTGTGAGTTATGAGAGAAAACAATTGATAAATATTCTGTGATCGTCCTCTGTGCAGCACTGAAGCTCGAGCTGTTAGTTCATTAGGTCTTCTTCTTGTTTGGACATGACAAGTTATGAGTAAGCTGTTTGCAATGTCATCATGTCAATGCTTTTACATAAAAAACCCCTTAGAGATGGTTCTGGTTTGACTCTGACTGGAATCAAAATCTCAGGGACTTTGTGTCTTTCCTCTTTTTCTCTCTTTGTTTTACAGATTGCAGCACACAGAAACAACTGAAGGTCAAACCAAAGATATTTCCCAGAAATCAGAAGTTTTTATGAATCATGGAGTTTTTGTTTGGCAACATGTTAAATGCAAATTACATGTTCTGATTGTTACACCATGTGTTTTCCCCTCATTGCGTCATTAGGAGTTATTGTTGTTGGTTTCAGTTTGGTTGATACAATTGAATTGTTTCATTTTGGGACAACAGATGTAGAGTTTTGAGGACTGATGCCGATAATGATATTAGGGAGTAAAAAAAATCTGGTATCGATATATCAGCCAATATGTCGGTCTACCTACTAATTTAAGAAATCTCTGTCTGTTTGTAAGTGCAACACATATCTCAAGAAGCTTTCATCTTATCATCTTCACACTTGGCATGTGTATTGTTAAAGGCCCAAACAAATGCTAACAAACTTTGAATGAAGAGGTGACCAGTGCTCTGATGCAGCAGCAGTGGTTTGGACTAATCAACTCATAAACTGAATTTCCAATTCAGGTCTGTGCACTGAGCTGGGCTTCACCGAACTTACAGTAAAACATTTGACCATGAATTAAGCTGTCAAAGACATATACAGTTTAACACCCTGACTATTTAAAGTCACATGAGTTTATTCATTTTGTGATTTGGCACTAAACAAATAAAATTGAACCATTGAAACAGGAGCAGTCCAACAGTTGTGTGTCTCAGGTTCAGTGTTTCATCACATTGCTCTCTGACCTTATGGGTGGTAGAGA